TTTATATATTGTGAATTTTGATTTTAAAATATAAAATCTATTACAAAATTCAGTTAGTATAATTTCACATTTGGTTCCTATATTTTCATATTCACTTCTTTATCTATTTCTTCATATTTTGTAATAGTTTATATAAATATAATGTTACAGTACAATAGAAAATATTTTTGTCTTTTGCCAAATTTGCTCGAAATTGATAGACAAAAACATGTATATTTTTGCTATCAGCATCACTTCATGGTAGTTAAACCGGCTGTAATAAATAATAATCAACACCGTTGAGCTGAATTAGTTATTTGTTTACTATAATTAAGTATATTAAATGTGAATTAAAGAAATATAATTAATACCTAATAAATTGAAAGATGAAGACATTTGAACTAAATGAACTTAAGAGCAACTGGATGTATTATCCAATCAATTATCTCGTTCACCAATTAAAAAACACGCTTTATCTATATTTTTCCAACACATATTTTTTTTATTATATTTAAGAATTAAAAAATAATTATTACTATTTATTTAGCGATAAAGTTTACATCCATCCATTTACCTATTAATAACCATCAAGCATTAATTTACTATGTTTTTCATACCACGATGAATTATTATATCATATTTATAAACTTACAATTTTTGACTAATTTTATTTTATCAACCATAAATTTTCTTTGCACCAATAAAAAAAACACATTCAATGCAGTCAAACTGTTTTTATAAATAATCGACCACTTTTTACTCATGGGAATTTTTCACCTTTCATTTATTCTTTGTTTACTATTATGTTAATTAATTCACAATAGAAAAAACAGAGAAAAGAGATAGGATTGTGTTTGGGCATAGAGTAGCCCATTAACCAAAGCCCGTATAGTTGAGGATCCATTTTCCACCCAAGCCCATTAGTTAAACCCACAGAGCTACAATTCGCATGAAAATTCTCTGTTATCACTCACAGTCAGTACTCGCTTGACTCGCTCGATTCGTGAACATCAGAGCAAAATAATTTGCAAAAATGGTAAAAAAATCAAGCTCAGAAAGTTCGAAGAAGAACAAAAGTAAGAACAAGTTAAGCATTAAGCATTCTCAATTCAGACGCAAAGAAAATTAAAGGGCCCAAGGAAAACCCATTTGAGAGCATATAGTCACGGCGCAAGGTTTAATAAATTGGGCAAGAAACGCAAGGACGAGGAACGACGCCGTATTGGTCTCTCTCGTTCATCGCCATTCAAAAGGTCCCGGCTTTCGTCTCCCTTTGATTAATTTTAAGCTCGTGAGCTGAATATCATGCTGTTTACCCCATTTGTTTTTCTTGAATTGGGCTGTGTGATAGCTTTCTGAGCTAGTGCTGAATTGTTTTCCTTTTCCCAAGTTCTGGGCGTAATGAAGGAGTTAATATGTTAAAGCTATCAGCTTACGGAAATTTTGGTTTTGCCCTGTTGCCCAGCACTACAGTTTTCGGAAAATCTTTTGAATGAATTCATCGATGAAATAGTTCGTTTGAATATTGCAAGTCGAACATTACTCGGGTTTTTAAAGCTAGTGGCGTAAAACTTGCCCTTTGCCCTTTTACGCATTGTAAAGTGTTCCCTTGAGTAAATTCTGTAGCTTTAAGTCACTTTGGAGCAAGCAATTGGAAGTTTGTTGGGGTGTGATCATTGGGAGTTTGTCTTCATATTTTGGTATGTGAAGTTGCGTTGTATTTCTATGAAATGCAGAGGCAAAAGACACTGCTAAAGGAATATGAGCAGAGCACAAAATCTTCAGTCTTTGTTGATAAGCGTATTGGAGAGCAAAACGAGGGGCTTTGGGAGTTTGACAAGGTAATTCTCAGCTCCCAACGTGAAATGCAGGTGAGTAAGAGTTTACTTTTATTTTTCTTCAGAAGACATTAGCTTAAACATTTTGCTGATTTATTTCTAATCAAATTGTTGATGATGAAACGGAGGAGATGCCCACTTTTAATGAAGGCGATGCAGATGCGTTGATGTGGCACTCAGGAGGAGAGCATGGAAGGCCATTTGGAGGAGTGTCTGAGGGGCCGACAGACGAGGATAAATCGGAGTCCTCTCGAGACGACAGTGGCGGTAACTGAAAATGGATGAGAGGATGATGCTACTTTGTTTGAGAGGAAGATACGCGAGCTCCGGACCCACGTACGAGACATGCGGGAAGAGAGTCATGCAACAGCGAATGAATGACGGTGTTGCAAGACGGATTCTAGCAGATGAATGACAACATCCATATCCATATGATGCTTCAGTGGATGATGCACGGGAATGTGGGGGAATTTTCCCCGCCTCAGCCTTGATCACCCCAACTTAGTCTTTCGAGAAAGAAAGAAAGTGGTATACTTTAGAAGACTAACTTTTGGGAATTTTCCCCCTTAGATTCCCCAAACTTGTTCAAGAACAAGTTTGAAAGAAGAAAGCGGTATACCTTCTGAGGGGGATTAAGGGTGCATCCACTGAAACATCATATGTATATGGATGTTGTTTTTCATATCTTGGAATTCGCCTTACATCACTGTCGTTTACTCCTCGACCCGGGACGCGGTTCGTATCTCGTTTGTCCGGAGCTCGTGCATCTCCCTCTCAAGCAACATCCATTCCCTATTGTTGAAATCGCCTTCGGCCGGTAGAGAGGACTCCGGTCTATCCTCGTTTGTCGGCCACTCCTCCAATGTGAGTGCCACATCAAGGCATCCGCATCGCCTTCATTAAAAGTGGGCATCTCCTCCGCTTCATCATCTGCCTCCCTCGGGCCCTAAAAACTCGACCGTGGGGCGAGTTTTCGAAGAACCCCCACGGGCCGATTCTCCTAGGACTGCAAACGAACCAAACCAAACGGCTCGCGGGCGCTCGAGTCGAGAAAACAACGTACACTCAGTGAATATAGCGTAACATCAGGTTGCGAATATCGGCGACCTTCACTGTTCCTCGCGCAAATTAGAGTGGTTTGGGATTCGCAAGGTAATGGACCTCCAAAACTGGGCCTCATTATAATTGATGTTACGACCCCTCCTCCGAAGCATTCCATTAAGTTGACCTTATCTAGCCGCCACTGTCGGTTGTCGAACTGAAACGTGATTTCCCGAAATATCATCGATCCCGAGGTGCTTAGGACTTCGAGCTCCATTCTCTTATATGTCGTCGGACGTGATCATAAGATGTTCGTGATTCCAAGCCGCCTCATAAATTCGGGTACCGAGATGGTTTGATAGCTAACCGTGCGAGTCGTGTCCATTTTGTTTTCTACCAATCATGCTCCAAGATAACCCCCAAATCGCGTCTGACATTCGAGTTGAACGCGAGGACCCCATCTCTCTTGTGGTGGGCTCGGTGGCGGTTGAGGTGCCGCACTAGCACCTCTACGAGACTATCCCTGAAATTAGCACAAATATTAAATTCACTTTTTTTTTTTAAGGTTTTGTACATGAGGTAATCTTATGGCTAAAACTTTTGGTAATTTAGTATTGTTTGCTTATTATGTCTTTGTCTGAAAGCTATCATGTTGTCATATACATCTTCATTATTGATTAAAATTTGTGGTCCATAATCTTAATTATTGATCCCTGACGTTTGGTCTAAGGCGATATCATGGTAATACAATACAAATAGAGTACAATTCTTAATTAGGCTGACATGACATTTAACACAAATTTAAAGAGTAAAATAATCAGACAACAACTCTGAATATAATTTACTCAAGTGATTAATTCCTAAAACATATCAATACATAATTGATTTCAGAATAACTTAGTTAAAGCTAGACCAAAATCTCAATTCTCGGCAGTCATGTTTTTACTCTGCAGAATAACTTGACTACTAATTTCACATTGACTTTCAGATTCTTAAAGTGTAGAAAAAGAAGCAACTTTACTTTGCATATAAACCAGACCTCCATCAATAATATAGCATAACATTTATCACAAAATTACATTTTCACACATATCCATCCAAGTCTTCTTTTCTTAAACCCTCTCGAGAATCACTTGGACTCCATTTTTCGGCGTGAGCACAAAGGCATCGACGGGAAAATGCACGTAATTTGGTGAAAGAGTAAACTTGTACTTGTGCAGAATCATCGAGAGTGCAATCTTGGCCTCGTTGGTCGTAAAATTCAACCCCACACAAGTTCTCGGGCCCAACCCGAATGGTATGAAAGCAGCACCGTTCTTCTTGGTAGCTTTAGCAACCCCTCGCGCGAATCTTTCGGGCTTGAAGAGATGAACATCTTTACCCCAAATTTGAGGATCATAATGAAGTGCAAGAATAGAAATGAAAATGTTCATCTCGGGAGGAAGCGAAAGTTTCCCTAGCTCGACTTGTTTCCCGGTTTTTCTTGTGAGCGTTAGGGCCGGAGGGTACAACCTTAGGCACTCGTTGATTATCATGTTCATCTGCATGGGGGCAAAATTGCATTTTTAGTCCTTCTGGTTTAATGTCATAACAATTTTAGTCCTAAGGTTCCAACATTTCACTTTTTTGATCATGTGATTGAATATTTTGCTGCATTTTCGGTTCTTTGAGAACTAGAATTGCAACAAATTCCTAAATTCCTAGATTTTAGATTACCAATTTAAGTCCTGTAATTTAAAATTTTGTTGCAATATCAGTCTCTTGTAAGTTAAAATTTTGTTGCAATTTTAGTCCTCAAACGACTGAAATTGCAGCAAAATAAGAAATCACATGACCAAAAGACGAAAAGTTGGAATCTTGGGACTAAAATTGCTATGTCATTAAAACGAATGCATTTTTGTCGCAAAAAGGATGTTAGAGAAAGATCAAAACTTTGGATTGAAATATCACGCCAAATTTTCTCGAGCTTGAGCATGAAAAAGGGTACACATGATGATGATTACAGTGATTGAACTTTCGACAAAGTAACGTTTTTAACGGCTTACGACTTTTAATCGTGCAATGCCATTTGAATCGGGACTCGTTTTTTTCCCGAAAGTACCATACACCTCGTCTCTGGCTCTGTCT